AAACATCAAGACATGGCGCGCAAAGGGGAAACACCATGTATCCGCCAGTGGAAGCGTTGTGCAATAGTGTTCTGCTACGCATCGCATCATCCTTGTATATATATGGCCCATAATACCTAGCTAAAATCTCGGGCAAAATAGGATTCTTGTTGGCTAGACAAACTAGTGGCTGTTTCAGTGCGAAATTGACTCTATTTTTTCCCCTCTCCTTTCTTTAGTCGACTTTGATATCTAACATGCTCTCCAAGTGTCGCCCAGCGTTCGCACGGAAGACATAAGCCCCCAGCAATCTGCTGCTCTCGTGGGTCCTACGAAGTATTAGGAAGGGGAGGGACATTAGACAGGCTCGATTTCCAATGCCCATGACCTAGGGGGTCGGTCACATGTTGGGGGGGGGGGAATAATATTGAATCATACTGCTCTGAACCTCTATCAACCTATTCCCTATGTGACGGTACAACCGCCCGCCAAACCTCAAGTAGCGGAGCATCCGGTCAACGCATTGATGCCCCGACTTCCACGCAAGCAAGACCATACTCGTCCTTGCAGTCCAGTCCATTCATTACCAACCCTGTCTGTCGCCAAGTCGTCATGTCGACCCAAACCAATGAAGGAAGAAACGAGAAGAACTGCGGCCCCCAATCCAATGCTCGATAAAGGCTTCTTTCTCAAAATGACCAGAACTTAATGAATGCCCATGTGTCGCACCATACTACCTACCCACACCGACTAGGAACTCCCCAAGGTATGCCTCCCGTACGCCCTATCAACACGCCAGCTGAGCGCAGTCGAGCTGCCGACGCGCCCCACCACCAGAGCGAATGCAATAGCAATTGCATTCAGTATAAGTCGGCGAATACATACTGAAAAAGAAGGGCGAATGCATGGGTAGGCATGGCCGAGAGGCGCCCGTTATAAGTTCTGCGTCGGCGGGATCGCATCGGTCACTTCTCGCACCGATATAAAGGATCCGGCGCCGCCGCCCTCTCGGAGATCCTCCAGAAGCAAGCTGGTCTGGGCGTACAACTCCTCGATCGCGGCTCGCGAGGACTGGCCCAAGGAAACTATCACAAAGCGTTTTGTTAGTTTCGCAGCCCGCAAAAATTTGGGCCTCTGGGGGGCAAGTTGGGGGACAGGGAGAACTCACGGAGTATAGCCGAGTTGAGTTCCTCCGCCACGGCCGCCCGGCCTTTCTTATCCAGCAGATGAGCGAGCTCCCTCTCCTGCAGGGGGTTTTCGTAGGCAAGGAGGGCATAAATATCGCCCAGTGCTTTAGCAACCTCTCGTCGTGGGTCAGTCGCGAACTCGGCTCGCAATGCCTGGCCGTACTGTAACGTTGCTAGCTCCAGGTCTTCGAGTGCCCGACGCGTGTCCGCAACAGAAGCTTCCGTCTCCATTCTGTCGAAGCCCCCATTCTCGGTGCCATTCATATCGACGTCCATTTCCTGGCCACCGAGTCCGTGGTCGACATGTCCATTGTGTTTCCCAATGCCATTGTATTTTTTTGTCTCCATTGCGGACCTGATCTCAGCGGCCGTTCGGACCATTTCGACAAATTTCCGGCAGCGTAGCCGGAAATAAACCTGCTCGTTGTCCTTCAGAACGCCGGGATAGAAGGCGTTAGTCTGCTTGAGGGCCCTGTCAATATCGCCTTCTAATACAGCCTTGCGTATTTCTGCGAGGCAGTCAGCAAACGATGCTTCAAAAGTGGGCTCGATCGAGCCGTAGGTAGGTAGGCACGCACGCTGTCGCTTTGAGGCATGCTCATCATCTCTGACGGGGATGTCTTCGATGGGTGCATTGGGGTCAGGATTGAGAGCCTTTTTCTCCTCGTGGATCTCTTCGGCAAATGCCCTAGCCGTCTCGACATATCCATCGTGTTGCAGGAACTGCAGAACAAGTGCCTGGATGAAGTTGGTTTCGTTCATAGCAGGAGATGTCAAGCTGGAGACATCTGCATCTTCAATCTGCGTGAGGATGGTCTCCTTTTCTGTCTGTAGGCTCAAGCGATTAGCCAACGACCTTGAAACGGGGAGAGGAAGGGGTAAAGAAGAAGGAGGAAGAAAGGGCGAGGTCTCCTCTTCGTTTCTTCGTTTCTTCTCTTCTCTTCTCTTCCTCTTCTTTCTGAAAATGCAAAGCACCAAGAGGGCATACTTACAGCCATCGTGGAGTCGATATCGTAGACGAATGGTTCCTGACCAAAGTTTACGCGAACGTGTTCTCCGACTTTCTTGAGGCTGATAGTTGGGTAATATTTTCCCTTGATATCCTTGAAGGCAGTCCCTAGTTGTGGTGTATGTGTGTGTAAGTAGGACGACGACAGTCCCAAAGGCACTGCTGCAGTGGCGGCATCGTTTAACTCACCGAGCAGAACTCCATTCTTCGTAAAGAAGCCACACCCCGTGCGGAAATTGACGCCACAGCCAATGACATCCTGAGCTGTAAACGAAGGCCCGTAGGTCCTGCCCCCGTTATGGGCGGCATGGCAGTTACCATCGTCTCCATGATAGCCGTACGAGTCTGGCTCCCAGCCTGGGGGCCGAGATAGAGCGACGGACTTGCCCGAGAAGCCAATTCCGATAAGGGTGCTATGGGGCCAAAAAAAGGAACAAAAAACAAAAGGGTCAGATCCAAAAATTCCACGCGCGTGCTATGAATCCGATTTTTTTTTTTGATTTGGGGCCGACTCACTCGTCTCTCTTCCCTGCTAGTATGGTGACCTCGAAGTAGTACAAACCACATTGTGGAGGCATGTAATTGTCGGCGCGGATGGCGAATGCCTCGCGATCCCGCTCGGGCTGGCCCTTGGTGCCCAGTAACTTCACTTCCATGCCGTCCGGCGACAACTCGAGGGCCCCGTACTTGTCGTCCTTGTTCAATTTGCTGGGCAGAGGGGAGACGAACTCGTCTTGGTCGCTCGGCGGCGGCTTTTCGACAACGTCATACGATAATCCTCGGTGTGCCACCGCCATGTTATGCAGGCTGGCGCTACTTGCGTTTTTGGAGAGGTTGCCACCGCCACCGCGTCCGCCTCCGCTGCGTCCCTGGGCACCGCGTGTTTCCCTCTTGGTACGCATTTTAGCTTTGTAGGCATCTATCAGACGTTCCATGAAGGTGGATCCTTGGAGATAGGACGGGATAAAGAACCCAGTCGTGGTGGTATCAAGCATGTCCCCATCCAGCACGGCCCTGTTTGTGAAGACGTCGAAGGCTTTCGAGAAGGAGGCGAGCTGCAAATCCCGCGCCCAAGATGGGTTGACAGCAAGGAATGAGCTTGTGCCCTTCTCATCCTCCTCCGAGCCGGTCCTGGGATTATGATTTCTGCTCGCGTTCTGGAACGGGGTCGAGGGAGAGTAGATGTCGGTGTCTTCGGGCCTGTTCAGAAGTTGGGAGATGACGGAGGTGCGCCCTGGATGTGTGAGGTATGGAGGTGTCGAGCCGGGAGCTGCCCCCGAGGCCACTGAGGCGTAGGGAAAACGGCGTTGAGAGGCGGACCCGGAGTTCGAAGCAGAGGGGGCCGATCCAGGGAAGCCCTGGGAGCCAGACTGGTACGGGCTCGTCATGATGAGGGATTGTCGGGAGGGTAGAATGATGTCCCTAGGCCAAGTAGCCTAGGTACCGAGGCTTTACTGTAGCAGGGGGGCGATATGTATAGCTTCCCGTCAAAGATGATACGCGCACTTGTTTGACGGGAAAAGAGGTTTGGAGGAGGTGCTTATCTCAGGAGACAAGGCGAAGCACCCGTCGGCGTAAGATCGTTGCTTGGTAGACGGTGGGGATGGGAGTGCCCAAGTTCAAGATGATACAAGATGATACTGCAAAGGGCAACTCGTGTCTGGGTCGGGTCGTTTGTACTTTTGTGCGGAAAGAAGTGCGTTTTGAGGCTCGAGAGGCAAGAGACACGTTGTTGGAGGAGCTTCCTGAGGCGAGGTCACAGCTTCGGAAGTGATCTGAACCTGGAACGAAGGCGTCGCTATCTGTTGGTGGAGAAGGTCGGGAGAGGGCGTTGTTGCTTTGCAAAGCAGAGGTACCTAAGACCACAGCAAGAACCGTTGATGGTATCTCCGTCATGCACTTCCAGCTCGACTCCGCTTGATAATACCTAGTGGGTGGGTCCATCACGGGGCACCCTGGAGTGACTGCTCCATACATAGGTACCTACCTAGGTAAGGTAGGTACTACCTCTAGGTACCCTAGGTATCCCGTACTCAGTACGAGTACGTACTATTTTAACCAATAAGGCAGGGAGGCGAACTTCACAAACCTCACAAACCTCACCGTAACGAGGCGCTAATCGGAGTTAACAGTAGGTAGACACCGAGTAACACGGAACGTTGGACTCCTCAATAACCCGCCCCTCACCTTATTCCATATAAGCGTAAGGTAGTCTGTAGGTAGGTACGTTACGTACAACTCGGTAATTACGTTGTACGCCATACCCACAAACACTACGAAGTACTCGTACTTCGTAAGTCCCTGTTAACAGAAATACCAATATATGGCGGCTTCGAGTGTTATCCGAAATTGACCCCATGTGAGAGGTCTCCATGCTTATCTAAGTTTCACGTCCGACACCAACCTCGTCCTTACTCCATCCAGTACAAATGGTGATAATAGGGTTATGACATGGACAAGTCTGGCTGGCAAGGCAGCGACGCATAGGGGCGTCTAGGCGATCATTACCAATCCGACGAAACGCATGAAGCCACACACACCTTGACGAGGGAGCATTCCATTTAGAAAACCCCTCATGGACTGGATGGACTCTTGGTATTCCCGTTGTCCGATGGGTTCGAATCCGCCAAATGTCTCAACTCCTCCGAGGTGGGTGATTTCCGATTTCCTGTCGTTTATACGGGCAAATCATACCTGTGAGCCTAGCTTGTGGAAGAAGGACAAGGAGGAATGCTTGATGCATAGGTAGCCATGGGCATAAGAGACGCCTTCGAGATGATGATCAAACTGGGCTGGGCCTAGGTAACCCTGCCATTTGAAATTTTGGCAAAAACAAATGAAAAAATCTTAGCCGTATTTTATTTTACTTCGTAGCGGCAAGTGATGATTGAGCAAGACACGGAATCAAACGCGAACACGGAATCACTTCAAAGCGGACATAGTAGTCAAATGCGCTCTTTGTCCGATTACAGAGTACAAGGTTGGGACCATGGAGCCAAACAAAAAAAAGTGACGACGGGGCTGGAACGCCTCGAACCGAGTCAGGAGCCGAGTCGAAAAGTCTCAGAAATCCTGTTGTTACGCTGGTTACGTTGGGGGTCCGGGAGTCTCGGAATTTTGTTATTGGGGCCACAGTGTTTGCAGTCGCAATCGGGAAGCCCTAATTATAATGCCCGCAGAAGTCTTGTCCCCCGCCACCTTCACCTTCGCATGGGATCGAGATGGCATGTCAGTAAAGCCAGGTTCGGATTCGCTCGCTCGCTCGCAGTGGGAAGCCCTGAGCCACGAGAATTCAGTGCCAAAAAAGTTAGCAATACTGATAATAATAATATACATAATATACATAATATACACCAAGATTCTGTCCGCTCAGAGGCATATCAAGTGTCAGATCCATTCAGCCCGACCAAGTCGCCACCATGCGTATAAATAATCGACCCTATAATACACCCCTCCCACCAAACGCCGTCCGTCGCCTTTCTCAGTAATAATTGATAATACCAGTAACGTCTCTAATGTTCCCAAACGCCAGCCAGTGTCAATGCTCCTCTTATCGCTCATGAATTTCTCAAGATTCTGTCGGGCAAGAGGGTAAAGAGGAGGGAAAAGGGGAAGAAAAGGAAGAAAAGGACCGGAGGAATCCGCCGGCAAGTAGTCTGTCATGTGAATGTGCGTGTATAACACGTGCGGGAAAAAAAAAACCCCAGCCGGGTTGCCTGCTTGCAGAGGCGGAGCTCCAGATTCAATGGTGTAGTACATGCCCACGATCAGTGATGTCGTGAAGGGCAGAAAAAATGCAAGATATGTGCGCGTCAAGTAGACCGTAACTACCGACAAACGCGCTCATGCCGCCGAGATGGGCACGGGGGCCGGAGAGCTGGCATCGATACCGTTTTCAAGACCGCCATTGCGCATCTCGGCATCGGCCGAACTGTCAGCGGCACTGTCCGCCGGCACGGGGCTGTTGACCTCGTCGCTCTTGATCTCTTTATTCTCCTTGGCGCTGCTGTCGGCCGAAGCGGCGACCGAGCCCTCGGCGACGGGCTCGGGCGCAGGTTTAGGCGGTGCGGTCCAGCGATGGATTTCCCAGACGACGCCCGTGAAGCTCTTTACCTGGAAGCCGCCCCTCGACCACTTCCGACAGGGCTTGCCGGACCGGTCGAGAGCGCGGAGTCCGGCGTTGATAGCGCCCTGATTCGCCTTGGGACCGAGCTTGTGTAGCCCAGCTCCCCTTCCGCTGCCGTTCAATTCATCGTCACTGTACAAGTCTTGTGTTAGCAAAGAGGAAGGGAAAAGGAAAGGAGAAGAAAGGGGAAGGCGTTGACAAGAGAGCATAAGAACAAAGAAGAAGAAGAAAAAAAAAAGAAACAAAAAAAAAAAAAAGGTCGTCGGCACTTACAGTCTTGCCTTCTTCTTGGGCCCGGGTTTGCCCCGAGACTTTGCTTGGCCGTCAGATCCGACACCGTTGGCCGCGGCAGCAGAACGCTTTGTACCCTTCTTCTTGGGCCCATCGGTAGGAGGACCCATGGTGCCAGGGGCCGGTGTCCCCTCTCCGTTGACGGCAGGCGTGGCAGGGTTCGAGTCGGAAGCATTCTCGCCGTTCGATGCTCCAGGCGCAGGAATGGTTGTCGAAGGAGTGGGAGAGTCAGTCGACCCGTTGACGGGTTCCTTGACATCTTCCTTCTCAGGTATTTCGGGCGTGCTTGCGGCTGGAGGCGATTCCTTGACGGGTAGAGGTTCGATGATATCCTTTAGTTTCTGGGGAGAGACGTGCAAGGTAACAATGAGGCCCTTGCCGGACTTTCGTCGGGTGACAGACTCCTTATTGGATGGTGCCATGGTGATGATGTGGATATGTTCTTTTCTTTTCCCCCTCAGTCGGCGCGGTGGTGGGAAGGTCGAAGAAGCGTGGGAAGACGGGGGACCCCGATTAGTTTTGTAGGGGACGTGGAAAGCAGGACGGCGACCGTCAGAGGAAAGTTGTTGTGGCTTGAAAGGAGTAATGTGTTGGATGAGCCCAGGCAACTGGGCAGTGGGTACACCGAGATTGTGCCCAGCAAGAAAATTGGCTTTGTCACCGCCCTAGGCTTTGCTCAATAGGAGTGGCGGTTGGACGAGTCATCCAATGACACTTGGTGATGATGTGTGTGTTTTTTTTTAGTAGGTGGTGATCTGGTGGTGTTCTTCTTGTCTTGCTGCTGCTGGCGGGAACCTACAGACCCTTGAGCAGCACACAAAACAAGCCGGGCCGGATGTGGCTGCCCAGTATAGTACAGTAGGGGCAGTGTGGGTGTTAGGGCCTTAGGCTGACGGGGTGACGGGTGACGGGTGATGGAGACGCGATGGTGATGGTGGTTGCGGGTGTGGGTGATCAAGAAAGTGATGATGGAAGCTTGATGAATGGGATGGATGGGGGTGTGAAGGGAGAAATTTTCATTTTATGGGGGAACCCATATGGTAGGTTTGGCGTCTCATTTTTGAATGAGCGCCGCCGGGCGGCGTGACAATGAGCGGTGGTAGACTTCTCATGCTGGGCTGGGCTCTGGCTCGAGGAATTGACCTCGTTCGCTTTTCTCGCGCACTGCTGGCACTGGTGGATGGGGACAGGGCGGGACGAACGTGGTCCGTGGTCGTGGGTACAGCTGGGGGGTCCATAGAATGAAGCTCCTATAACTTAGTCAGAAAAAAGCACTTTACCGAAAACGGAAGAACTCCAGTTCAATGTGGAGATGTGGCAGCTGCCAATAGCGTGTCGGGAACCCAACTTTCCCACATTTGCCCGCCCTAGCCAGCTGACCCCAGGAGCTCAGGGGAACTTTGATGACGAGATCGGCGGCCCAAATCGCAGCAGGTACGGGGTACAAAGTACCCGGTAACTTTGTATCGAGTAATGAATACTCCGTAAGGTACACGAGGTCTGCAAACCGAAAACTTAATCCGGAGAACCAGCCTTTCTTCCGAAGTACTACAAAGGATTTCCTCAAAAAGGGGGGTCCCAAAAATAAAACAAGAAAATAAAATAAGAGAAATCCCACATCCCTTGGATCCCGTGCGATGCTCATGAGACTTGTCGATTTCTTGTCTCATTTCCCTTTATCCGCCAACAGCACAGATCACGCAGATCACGCAGCTCCGAGGATGGAGTACATAAGGACGGCTCAATCCGCCGATCCACACCACACCTCTTTCGGAGGAGCTTATCCATTCCTTGATTCGAGGCTATTCCCGTGCCTCGTAGGAATGGCACTCCGTCAGGTATCACGTATTCAATCCGTTATCCGATGATGGGCCGCTTATCAGAGTGGCCAAGCTCGGTCCCTCAGAATCAGCTTGGACTTCCCACATTGTTCGTCCCGGGCCGGCCCGGCCAACAGGATTCAACTGTTCTGTTCAACCGTGACGTGACCAACCTCGACATGTCCCGGTCAGTTTCCTCTGACTAAATCCGAGTTTGTCGTCTCTCTACCCTGCTGATGATTCTGCAGCATCTCGATATGGCTGGGGCTGGGAATCGATGTTTCTTAACGGCCGACAATAGACGCGACAGCACCAGGAACAATGCCATACGGCCTTAGATCATCTACCTTAGCTGCCTCACAGTTGCCGCAAATGCACCTCAAGATATCTCAACAAGAACAGCAGTAGAAACAACAAATGCGTTAAAGATACAGAGAGAGCAAGAGAGAACAAGACGTATTAAAACGAGCGAGTGTGCGCATTTTCTGTCGTGGCTGGGTGCGTAGTATCATTGCGAGACGGCTTTGATGTGAAAAAGCAGATATAGAAAAGCCACCGGAATTCTTCATGGCCCATGCAAACAAGGTCAATCATGTAGCCTAGCCTGGAAACAGATCCAAACTCCATTCCGCCACGGGGAGAGGGCAAAGTGGTAGGATCTGCTTCCCCATGTACAGAGATGAGAGGACAAGAGAGGCCGACTCTCAGGCCTCTTTACCGAAAAAGAAAACAGAGAGAGGTGATTAAGAGGGAGAAAAAGAAAAAAAGTAAAAAAAAAAAAGTAAAGTAAAAAAGTACAAAAGAAGAAGCAAGTCGACGGCGGCCAGAAAATGTAAAGGGTATGGTATGTCTTGCGTTCGTCAGGAAGGAAAATGCGAATTCATCCGCCGTAGCATCAGCAGGCCTGACTAGGGCCGCTCGACTCGGCCCTTAGCCTTGCTCTGGGACGCATCGCCGCCATCGCCCGTCTGTTCCTCCACCTCGAGCCTCTTCCGCCAGTCCGCCAGACTCTCGCTCAGCCCCGGCCCGTTCTCGCCGTCCCTTCGGGTCGGCGTGGCCGCAATGTCAAAGTCGAACGTGTTGCTCAGTCGATAATTCTTATTCGTAGCCTCCCAGTGCGTCCGGAGTGTCTCGAGTTCCGTCGCGAGGTTGTCCAACGCCGCGCTGTTGCGCGCCTCCGTCGGGTCCGTGCCCCCGCCGCCGCCGTATGCGCTCTCCACGTCCGAGCTCTCTTGCCGGTTGTGGCCCCGGCCCAGCCCGACGCCATTCGCGGACCCGGCCCCGGCCCCGGCCCCGCCGCCAGGCGCCGTTAGCTCTGAGCTCACGCTGGGTACTTGCCGGCTCCGCCGACGGTAGTTGTCCACCGAGCTCTCTACCTGGTCGAGGAGCATCGAGACCTTCTGTTCGGCGTCCTGCGCCCGCTGCTCCAGGAGCGAGTTTGCCTGCTGAAGCTGCTCCAGGTCCCGCCGGCTGGACGACAGCGTCTCCGCCACCTCTTCGGTCGTCTTCAGGGCCGTGTCACGTTCCCGTCGGACCTCCTCTAGCTCTTCCTGCACAGCTCGCAACCGTTCCTCCAGTTGCGCTCCGGACGCCCGGATTTCCTCTTGCAGGCTGTCCACCCTTCTCTGCAGCACCTCGCGTTCCTTCTCCCAATCCAGCGCCGCCGCCGACTGTCCGCGCTGCTCTTCCAACTCGTCCATCTCCGACCTCAGCTCTGCATTCTCCGCCTTGTAGCGAGCGAGCTGCTCCTTGAGCTGCTTCAGCATCTTCTCGGTCCCTTTGACATAGTGGACGGCCGACTGGTAATCGTTCTCCAGCTGCGTCAGCTTGTCTCGGTATGCCGCTTCGGTGGCTTCCAGTTGGGCCATGTTGCGTTGCTCGGCTTCCTCTTGCGCAGCCGCCGCCTTCTCGAGCTGCTCCTCCAACTCACGAATGCGAGCCTGCTCCGGCGACGCCGTGCGCGGGCTGCTCACGCTGCGGTTCCGGCTCATGTTCGTAGGACTGATACCGCGCTCGGCGAGAATGTCCTTGAGAGTGTTGTGCTGCACCACGACGGCGTTCGTCTCCAGCTGCTGGTTCTGCAGTTGGTTCTTGAGGTCCGCGTTGGCCCCTTGCAGACTCTGCGTATCCCTGAGGGCCGCCTGGAGCTGACGTCGGATTGCCACGCCTTCACGGCTGGATTGTTCTTGGTAGACCTCCAATCCTGCGATCCGCTCCTCCGCCGTGCGAAGCTTGTCCGCTGCCACGTCTGCTTCTTGTTGGTACTTCTTGACCAGATCATTGGCCGTCTCCAACTGCTTCTGGAGAGCTTCCAAGCGCTCCGACTCTGCCTTGCTGGGCCCGCCAACGTTCCGAGCCGAAAGCTTGTCGAAGCCCGCCAGGACGGCTTGCCGGTGTGTTCGTGCTTCGTTGGCATGTTTTTCGGCCATTTCCTCGGCGTCTCGCAGCCGCCGCGTGGTGGCGACGAGTTCGGCAGTGCGTGCCTCGTGTTCTGCCTTCAGCTTGCTGAGTTTGTCTTCGACCTTCTCTCGCTGCGCTCGTTCCTCGTCCAGCTTGTCTTCGAGAAGCATCTTCATCTCGGCCGATGCCCCCACGGCCTCCTTCAGAGAATCGAAAGTCTGGTCTCGCTCCTGCGAATTTCCCACTGACTCTTCGTACTTGGCCTGCCATTCGTCCTTTTCGACGCGCAAAAGCTCCATGGCCCCCATGGCTTCCGCGTGCAGCACGGACTGTTCCCGTGCCTCCCGTTGCACCATGTGTAACTCGGCCTTCAGCCGCTCTAGCTCAGGGGACGTGGTGGTTTTGTACGATTCCAGCTCGGTCATACGCTTCTGCGACGCGTTGGCCGTGTCGTCAGCGAGTTGCCGCGCGCGTCTCTCGGCTTCGAGCTCCATCCTGGTCGTCTCTAGCTGCGATTCCAACATCTTCTGGTGGTGAAGAGCCGTGGCCAGCTTCTTGCTGATCTCCACCGACCGGTCGTCGGCGTTGTCTCGGTCGCCGAAGTCCTGCTGCGGCGTGCTGGCGGCGCTCCCTCCCCCGACCTGGGCGGCCAGTTTCGCCTTGGCGTAGATGGCTTCCTGGATCGCGGCATCCCTTTGTTTCTCGGCTTCGGCAATCTGCTTCGCCGCGAGGATGGCCTGCTTATCCACCGCGCTCTGGACGTTGGCAAGCTCCGTGCGCATGGCCAAGAGGGCTTCGATCAGTGGCTTGTCTTCGTCGTCGAACGTCTCCGTAGCACGACCTTCCAGTGGACTCAGGCTCGCGTTGGGCGCGTAGCCGGCCTTCCGCGCAAGTTCGAGTTCTGACGCGTACCAAGCGTTGCGGTTCCGTGCTGAATCGAGTTCCTTGAGGAGGGCGACCGTCTGGGAGTTTCGGCCAGAGGATCTCCGAGACAGTAAATTGCTAGGTTGCCGCGCCGTCGTCGGAGGGGATGCCGGTCTGTGTTGTTGAATCGATCTCATGCTGGACTCGGTGGTGCTGTCGACGGATTCCTGTGAGCGACCAGCTTGTCGAGATCTGGTTTTCGGCTGTTCTGCGGGGTTCGCCTCGGGTTTGGGGGCGCCCTGCTGCTGCGGAGGGGTCCGATGCCCATTAATAATGGGAGACTCATCTTCGTTGGGGGCCGCCCTGATAGTGGGAGACTGCATCGAATTGACTTGGATGGACCCGCCACCCAGAATATCACGCTCCGTCGACGCGCCACGGATGCGACCGCCGCTCGATGTCTGGGGTTTTGCAGGAGTCGGACCTTGAGGAGGCGGGCCGGCGGGCGAGGACGCGGAGGTCCTGGGAAGCCTGGACTGCGCGCCAGCGATAGAAACTGCATTGATGTCCGACCCGATGGGATCACCGCGATATCCGTTTGGCGGGCTGTTCACCCTACCCGCATCTCGAGGACCGCCGGTGGTGGGTCCCCTCGAGTCCTGTGACCCATCTCGCGACAGTGCGGTCCGCACAGGGTTCTGTTCGGTAGCGGTACTTGGGCGCCTGGGTTGCGGGAGTCCTCGTGAATTCTGCTGGGCCTGGGAGTCGTTGGGGTACCGAATCTTTGTCGTATCTAGCACGTAGATGATGCCTAGATCTCCGGCACTGATGGGAGCCGTGCTGGGCTCCCCTCCCACAACCACGATTTGCTTCCCTACGGTGGTCATGCTGTGGCCTGATCGCGGTGACGGGGAAGGGCCCATGTTCTGGAAGGTGTACCATCGCCTGGAAGTGATCCGAAAAGCGGCGAGATCGCCCAGATCGGCGCCTTCCTCAGTCCGGCCGCCGAATACGTACATGACATCGTCAACAAGGGCAGCTGTGTGGCCTTCACGCGGGACGGGAATGTATCCTATGCAGTCCAGTTGCGTCCACTCGTTCGGTATGGGGTCATAGCACCAGACATCATTAAACCATTGGAAGCCATTCGTTCCGCCAAATCTGCAGGACAATCAGTCTTCGTCTCTAGCCGCCTCAGATATGCGGCGGGCTACCATGGTAAGCAAGCAGAGTAAAGAGGGCAGCACGTACAAATACATCTTCTCGTTGAACGTGATGACGGAGTGGTTCGTACGCGCCGGAGGGACACGGTCCGTGCTCTCGGTGTTTTCAATGAGCATTTCCCAGCGGTTATTGGGCAACTGGAGCTTATTCAGGTCAAAAGCCGCAAGATCGTTCATGAAGTAGCCCTCCACCTGGCCGCCAAAGATGAAAATCTTGGAGCCCAGAATGTTCAAGGTATGGCCGTAGCGACCCGACGGCCGTGGCCCTGGCGGTAGGGCTCTGGACCACTGGCGGGTAGCTGAGAGGTGGTTAGCCCGCGTCTGGCGAAGGTCGGACGAGGCGGAAAAGCGGTCGCAGCTTACATGTGTTTAGGAGGTATAGGGTCTCATCCAGAAGGTCCGAATCTTCTACCTTGGTATCTCCTCCGTAGACAATAAAAGCGTTGCCGACGAGAAGGCCGGCATGACCGACTCTGGGACCTGGACCCTCGGCCGTGGTGGGGAGAGGATAGCAGGTCATGTTCTGACCGGCTTCAATCATCCACAGGTCGCCCTTCACGGTGGCACTGTTGATCAGGCCGCCCATGACATAGATGTCGCCCTCTTTAGATGAGATGGAATTTACTGCGGCACCATACCGTGGAAACGGGCTCGGGTGTGACGAGGTATAGTTGAGGCGCCGTTGAGACCAAGGGTACAGGGCGGCATTCGGATTCGAGGGTGGTTGTTGTGCGACGCCATTGCGAAACTAGAAAGACATGACCATGATTAGAAAAGAAAAGAAGAAGAGAAAAATAAGTTTACCGACGACCGTGCCGAGGCGTGGATCGCGATGTCATTGTGGTCCAATAGGTATGTAGAAGCCAGAACAGAGAAGCAGTTGAGAGGACAAAACTCACAGGTAGGTCACTCGGTGCGCTTGGAGCTTGATCCACGCTGGGACCGCGCTGACGGCCGTATGGCTGGTCAGGGCTGCCATGGTTGGCGTCGTCGCCGAAAGAACTGAGGCTGCCTGTGGGCGTGGCTCGGTGTTGTGCAGTTTTCTCCTCCTTTGCTACCCTGGCGCTGGCGCTTTGAATCGAGCCTTGCGAGCCCGAATTACCATCGCGACTCGCCAAGGCGCGGTCCTGATTTTTCTTCGACTTGAACAGGAAAGCCATGACGGCTAGTCCTTAGGTGACAGTAAGAGACGACAATACGTGTGGCCGTCGAATCGATGGAATCACCACTCTGTGTTCGGTTCTTGATGAAGGAGGTCCACGTCGACGGTAGAGGCTAGGGGAAGCGACAGTCTGGCGGGATGTGCGCTGCTCGTTGGGCTCGTTCAGATTAGTTGGGAGGTCGGATCGAAATTCGGATACGGAAAGGATAGCGGACAGCGTTTGGGGCTGGAAAGACGCAGGGAGTTGGGGCTCGAGCCTGGAAATGGCTGGGGTTGGCATTGGCGGAATCTTGTGCTGTCGCCTGTGGTGTTTGACCGAGTTTCGCTTTTTGTTTCTCTTTTCTTCTGTATTCCTTTTCTCTTTTCTCCCGGTTTTGCGGAGAGGGGGTTGGTAGGAAAAGAATGCCGATCCCAGCAGTCCCAGCAAAAGGGGGATTACGGGGGCTGGGGAACGAGAAGAATCCAGAGTCCCGGCGGGGATGTTCTGGTCGCTTGGCTCTGTGCGACAGCTATAAAGAAGAAGAAAAAAAATTGTTAATGACGAGGGTTTGATGTCCAAAATGAAAAGGGGAAGGGCCCGTGTCCGAATTCTGCCCAGAGGGTGAAAATAATGATAATGGGCGCTGAACGGACAGGTCCCTTCCTGGCTTCATTCACGGTCGGGACCGCCTTCCTCATGAATGGTCGGTCTTGTTCCCATTATGGTCAGGGGTGGGAAGGAGAAGGGGGAGCACCTGCACTAGCCAGACAGACTGCAGGGCAGTACTCCGTACGGGTACAACCTAATTACATCCAGGTACTAAACTTCGTAATTGCCTAAGGCAGGTACTTCCCTGTGCAGTGTATCCGTATGCTGATTACGAAGTACACACCACTTGCTAGACCATCTCCCACAAAAGGAAAATGTAAGCCAATCAGAGATATGGAAAGAAGATTCAAAACGCGTCGCCCCAAGCAGAACTGTCTCTCTTTTGGTACACTTTTTGTACAGGGGAGCCACCAGATGGCAGGCAAGTAATTCCAAAGTACTTCGTGCAGCTGATGATGTATTACCTTACTTACTGTATCCGCACCTTGTATCCATACGATGTCATCTTATAAAAGGCTACTGCTACTGTAACTCTGTTAGTGGCATGGTATAATAGCTCTGTCGACACCTCAATAACGGCCTCCCTCTAAGAACCTTTGAGATGGGTTTTACCGAGCCCCATCTGAACTGGATGTGTTCCGGAGCCTCGCTGCTTTTAGCCTGAGCCGACCCTGAGCGACCGTGGGCTGGGGTCAGTGGCTTAGCATGCATAACTCAGCCACTATTGCACAAATTTCACCGTAAAGTCAATGCTCCTACCGTATTATGGTAACGGTAACTTGAAAGGCAGCCCTCGATTGGGACAACTCCCTGGGAGGTTTGCGCCTCGTCTTCGCCGCTGCGCAAGTCCATTGCTGACAAACACCGACTCATGGTGAGACTTCCCGATCACCACTCTCGACGGTCGAGGTCGTCACGAGCACGTACTCCTGCAAACAGTGAGGCGCCCTACTATTTGGCGGTGCTGGTTCTCGAGCTAGACAGGTATGGACAGCAAAGAAGCCCCTTCCGACGAAGGCGTCCGATGGCTGATTGCATCTCTCAACGACTCCCTCAAATGAACTTGCGCATGGACACGACCCTGACCCAAGCTCTACCTTCTGCACCAGCTCGCTCTGCAATGATGAGGCTCCCGGAGGACGCGAAAACCTCATGACTCCAAGCTCTTCGATTCCTAGAATCAATGACAGTGGGCTGCTAGACGGGAAAATACCGATTAGGTCCAGAGGACATCAGATTTAAAAGCATATAAGATTGCTAACTGAAGTACTTGAACTAAGACGATCCGGCGCCGGGCTGCGCGTTCAAGATGAATCCGACATCGCCGTGATATCTGCAAACAGGAATTGGAAACCGTAAAAGTCTGGAACAACCGGGGCATTATTCGCCAACAGTAGCGTCTCCACGCCTTGATGACAGTTGAAGACGGCCAGCTGCAGTGCTGTCAGACCACATGCATCCTCTGCAGCAAGATCTACATCGTTATCATCGATCAGCATCTTGACCACTGCTTCGTGTCCTTGAGCGGCAGCCAAGAAGAGGGTTGTCCGAACCCTGGTGTCGGCCGTGGCGGTATCGACGTTGCTCTTGTCAAGGAGCAGCTTCACCACCACGTCGTGTCCTTTTCTGGTCGCCCATGAAACTGGTGTGCGGCCCGATTCGTCGGTGGACTCGATATTGGCTTTGCCCGTATCGAGAATCATCTTCACTACCACGTCGTGTCCATTGGCAGCGGTCCATGAGAGGGGCGTCCGGCCGAGTTTGTCTTGCGTGTCGACATCGACCTCGTCTCTGCCAAGGAGGAGCTTCACTACCTTCTCATGTCCATTCTCGGCCGCCCATGATAGTGGTGTCTGACCATAATCGTCGTCCTTAATGTTAACGTCCGCCCCCTTCTCCAAGAGCAGCTTCACGGCCTCGACGTGGCCTCCCTCTGAGGTGGCATGGAGAGCGTTGCCGAAGTTGCCGCCCTACACGTTGGGGACGTCCGCCCCCTCGCGTAAGAGTAGTTTCATAACCTCGTAGTGGCGTCCCTATGCGGCGGCCTGCAGAGCGTTGTTGTAGTGGCCGCCCTGCGCGTTAACGTCCGCCCCCTCGTCTAAGAGCAGTTTCGCAACCTCGTTATGGTCTCCTGACGAGGCGGCCTGTAGAGCGTTGCCGTGGTAGCCGCCCTGCGCGTTAACGTCCGCCCCCTCGTCTAAGAGCAGTTTCGTAACCTTATTATAGCCTCCTAATAAGGCGGCCTATA